CAGCTGAGAACCAAGCTCAGTTGCCAGACCTTTCATGCCCCTCTGGTATAAATGAAGCTTTGAACTATAATCCAAGCAATTCTTCATTTAGTCCCCTTCCTGATCTAAATCTCTAACCTACACACCCATTTTGATGTCCTGCAGTCAAATTGAGTCTCATGTTAAAACGTCCTTGTCATTGTAAAATTTGCCACAGGCCCTCTTAACTCCCTAATTTACCTTTCACACCACTTTTATACCTGTCATTGCATCTTCCATGGCTATATTTTCCAGTGGACAGAAAGGTAAGTTATCTATCTTGCCCTCTATTGGGGGCTTCACAATGTCGACCGTTTTGTGACAACTAAACAGTTTGCTGTTGTTGTTGAAGATTTTGAGGTCCACCATGCAGGAGGAGCTGGAGACAGCACCAAATAAATGCAGTTTTTTTGTGTTTTTTATTTTTGAGGAAGATTAGCCCTGAGCTAACATCTGCTGCTAATCCTTCTCTTTTTTGCTAAGGAAGACTGGCCCTGAGCTAACATCTGGGCCCATCTGCCTCTACTGTATATGTGGGACGCCTGCCACAATGTGGCTTGTTAAGTGGTGCGTAGGACCGCGCCTGGGGTCCGACCCGGCGATCCCTGGGCTGCCAAAGTGGAGTGTGCAAACTTAACTGCTATGCCACTAGGCTAGCCCCTAAACCCAGTTTTTGATTTGGTTGTTCATTTTTTGGTTGGGCTGTATGAGTTTTTTATATATTTTGGAAAGTAACCCGTTGTATGCTATACGATTGGCAAATATTTTCTTTCAGATGTTGGATTGTCTTCTTGTTTTGTTGATGGTTTCCTTTGCCATGCAGAAGCTTTTTAATCTGATGTAGTCTCATTTATTTATTTTTTCTTTTCTTTCCCCTGCCTGAGTAGATATGATATTCCAAAAGCTACTGCTAAAACTGATGTCGAAGAGTGAACTGCCTATGTTTTATTCAAGAAGTTTTATGACTTCAGGTCTTACATTCAAATATTTAATCCATTTTGAGTTAAGTTTTGTGTAAGATAATGGTCTACTTTCATTCTTTTTCATGTGGCTGCCCAGTTTTCCAAACACAATTTATTGAGGAGACTTTCCTTTCTCCACCATATTGATTCCATAGCTTTGCAGTATATTTTGAATTCAAGGTGTGTGATACCTCCAACTTTGATCTTTCTTCTCAGGATTCCTTTGCTTATTTGGGGTCTTTTGTTAGTTCCACGTAAATTTAAAGATTCTTTGTTCTGTTTGCATGAAGAATGACATTGGAATTCTGATGGAGATTGCATCGAATCTGTAGATTGCTTTATGTAATATGGACATTTTAACTATATTTATTCTTCCAATCCATGAACATGGAATACTTTCTTTTCTTTCTCCTTTGATTTCTTTCAATAACATCTTATAGCTTTCTGTGTATAGGTCTTTCCCCGCCTTGGTTAAATTTATTCTTAGATATTTTATTCTTACTTCTGCAATTCTGTGTGGAATTGTATCCTTGGTTTGTCTGTCTGCAAGTTTGTTATTAGTGTATAGATGCAACTGATTTTTGTATGTTGATTTGTATCCTGCAGCTTTATTGTACTTACTGATCATTTCCAGCAGCTTTTTTGTGGATTATTTGGGGGTTTCTGTCTATAGAAACATGTCATCTGCAAATAGTGACAGTTTTACTTCTTCCTTTCCAATTTGGACCCCTTTCATATCTTTTTCTGGCCTAATTGCTATGACTAAAATTTTCAGTGCTATGTTGGATAAGAGTGGCGAGAGTGTGTCTTTGTCTTGTTCCTGTTCTCATAAGAATAACGTTCAGGTTTGCACCGTTGAGTATGATGTTGACAGTGTGTTTGTCATGTATGGCCTTTATTATGTGGAGGTACTTTCCTTCTATAACCATTTTACTGAGAATTTTCATCATAAATGGATATTGAATCTTGTTGAATGATTTCTCTGCATGTATTGGGATGATCATGTGATTTTCATTCTTCGTTTTATAAGTGTGGTGTATCATATTGATTAATTTGCAGATGTTGAACCATCCCTCTATCCTTGGAAAAAGTCCCACTTAATCGTGGTGTATGATCCTTTTAATGTATTGTTGTATTCAATTTGCAAGTATTTTCTTGAGGATTTTTGCATCTATATTCATCAGCAATATTGTCTGCAATTTCCTTTTTTTATGTTGTCCCTGTCTGGTTTTGGTATCAGTTAATGTTGGCCTCATAAAATGAGTTTGGAAGTTTCCCATCCTTTTCAATTTTTTGGAAGAGTTTGAGGATAGGTATTAAATCCTCTTTGACTGTTAGGTAGAATTCACCAGAGAAACTATCTAGTCCTGGACTTTTGATTTTGGGGAAGTTTCTGATTACTATTTCAGTCTCTCTGCTTGTGATTTGTCTATTCAGATTATCTATTTCTTCTTCATTCAGTTTTGAGAGGCTGTATGATTCTAAGAATTTATCCATTTATTCTAGGTCACCCAATTTTTTAGTGTACAGCTTTTCAAAGTAGTCTGTAATCCTTTGTATTTCTGTGATGTCCGTTTTAATTTCTCCTCTTTCATTTCTAAATTTTATCCATTTGAGTCTCCTCTCTTTTTTTCTTAGTGTCTGGCTAATAGTTTATCAATTTTATTTATCTTCTCAAAGAATCAGGTCTTTGTTTCATGGATCCTGTTGATTGCTTTTCAGTCACTATTTTCTTTATTTCTGCTCTTATTTTTATTTCATTCCCTCTACTGACTTTGTGTTTTGCTTGTTCTTCTTTTCTAATTCTTTCAGGTATAGTGTAAGATTGTTTATTTGAGATTTTTTGTTTCTTGAGGTAGGCCTGTATTGCTATAAATTTCCCTCTTAGTATCATTTTTGCTGCATCCATAAGTTTTGGTAAGTTGTGCTTTCATTTTCCTTTGTCTCTAGTATTTTTAAATTTCTCCTTTGATTTCTTCATTGATCCAATAGTGTTCGGTAGCATGTTGTTTGATCTCCACATATTTGTGACTTTTCCAGCTATTTTTTGTAGTTGCTTTCTAGTTTCATACCATTGTGGTTGGAAAAGATGCTTGATATGATTTCAATCTTCTTAAATTTATTGAGGCTTGCCTTGTTTTCCAACATATTGTCTATCTTTGAGAATGTCCCACATGCACTTGAGATAAATGTGCATTCTGCTGGTTTTGGATGGAATATTCTATAAATATCTATTAAGTCCATCTATTTTAGTGTTTCACTTAGGCCAATGTTTTCTTGTTGACTGTCTGGATGATCAACCCATTCACAGAAGTGGGTTGTTAGGATCCCCTTCTATTATTCTGTTGCTTTCAATTTCTCCCTGTAGGTCTGTTAATAGTTGGTTTATATACTATGGTAGTCCTGTGTTAGGTGCATATATATTAATGTGTTACCTCTTCTTGATGGAATGCCCCTTTCATAACTATATAATCTCCATCTTTGTCTCTTATCTTTTTGTCTTGAAGTGTATTTTCTCTGATATAAGGACATATGCACCTATTTTCTTTTGGTTGCCGTTTGATTGGAGTATCATCCTCCATTCCTTCACTCTGAGCCTCTGTTTATCTTTAGAGCTGAGATAGGTGTCCTGGAGGCAGCATATTCTTCAGTCTTGTTTTTTAACCCATCCAGCCACTCTGTGTCTTTTGATGGGGATATCAATCCATTGACATTTAGAGTGATTATTAATATATAAGGGCTTAATGCTGTCATTTTATCTGTTTTTTTTCTGATTGTTTTGTATTCCAACTCTTTCTTTTTCCTTGTATTTCTGTCTGCCATTTTAGCTCAGTGATCTTTTGTGATGTTTTTCTCAGTTTTCTCTTTACTTGTGATTTGTTACTCTGCTCTGGTTTTTTGTTTTGTGGGTACCATGAAGTTTGTATGAAAGATCTCCTAGATGAAATAGTCTTTTTTTCTGATAGCCTCTCATCTCTATTATTCTATTCAGGTTCCATCCTTTTCCTCTTCCCCTTCTACGTATTTGTTGTCACTTGTGTTTTGAGTTTATAACCAAATTGAAGTAGCTATATTATTTTTGATACTTTCTTTCCCTCTAGTCATTATGTTATAAATAAATGTTTCCTAACCTATTCTGATATAGAGCTGCAATTTTATGATTCTGTCTATTTATCTCCCTTCTTAAAGCTTCTTAAACCTTTGTCTTTTTATTTCAGGTAGGATGCTCCTTTCATCATTTCTTGTAAGGAAGGTATAGTGGTGATGAACTTCCTCAGCTTTTGTTTATCTGGGAAAACTTATATTTCTCCATCTTATCTGAAGGAGAATTTCACTGGAAAGAGTATTCCTGGCTGATGGTTTTTGTCTTTCAGCATTTTGAATACATCATTCCACAGCCTCCTAGGCTTTAAGGTTTCTGCTGAGAAATCTGCCAAAAGTCTCATGGAGGTTCTATTGTAGGTTATTGTCTTCTCTCTTGCTGCCCTTGATATTTGTTCTTTGTCATTGACACTTTACAGTTTTAATATTACATGCCTTGGAGAAAGTCTTTTGGCATTGAGGCAATTAGAAGTTCTATTAGATTTATGTACTTACACATCCAGGTCCTTTCTCAGGTTTGTGAATTTCTTGGCTATTATTTCTTTGAATAAGCTCCCTGCCCCTTTCTTCCTCTCTTCTACTTCTGGGATACCTATAATCCTTATGTTATTTTTCTTAACTGAGACAGATATCTCCCAAAGAATTTCTTCATTTATTTAAAATCTTATTTTTCTCTCTTGTTCCATGTGAATTGCTGCTATGTTTCTATCTTTGATCTCACCAATCCTCTTCTCCATATAGTCTACTCTATTTTTAATGCTTACTACTTAATTTTTCATCTCATTAATTGTGTTCATCCTCCCTGGCTATTTTTTCCAGTGGACAAAAAGGGAAGTCATCTATCTTGTCCTTTGTTGCGGGTTCACAATGCCTATCGTTTTGTGACAACTGAACAGTTTGCTGTTATTGTTGTTGAAGGTTTTGACACACACCATGCAGGAGGAGCTGGAGACAGCACAGAACAAACCTTCTGTGTTTGACTTGTTCCGCACACCCAACCTGCGTAAAAGGATCTGTTTACTGTCCTTCATGAGGTAGGCTTCACACAGTGCATGAGGGACATTAAAACAGTAGAAACAGAATTCTATTTGTTATTTCAGAGGATACGACATACTTGGGGATATATTTGAGATGAAACATAAGAAAGCCTCAAAGATAGTTGGTATTTTTATAGATAGTGAAAGAGTTATACAAAGACTAACACAGAACTAATTGTACAATGAGGAGTTTTGTTATCACATCATTCTACCAGGCTCATCACTGGAGATGAGGTTGAGAAAAATCACAGTACAGACTTCAGCTTTAAGTTTCTTCACCTGTTGTTTTTTATTTTAATTGAGGTAAAATTACAAACTCTCAAGTGCTCAAATATATGCAGTTCAATAAATATTTCCATATGTAAATATATAACCATCGCTCAGATCAGGATATAGGAAAAACTCTAAACCCATGGAACCTCACCTCATGTATCCTCCACGAAAAAACCCTTCCACCTCCCAGAAGAACTTAGCAACAACTGTAACCTCCAATATCAGACTATAATTTTATGATGATTTATAATCATTAACTTGTAATAAAATTGCATTTAAAATATACCCAATATTTGTTTTAATCAGGTATGGTAAGACACACAGACTCAGAAATGATTGTCAGGAAGTAAGATTATAGTCACAGATCCCTAGATAGAGGAGGCACAAAGCACCAGGCAGGGTCATTCAGTGAAGCACGGGTGTCAGTCAGAGTGAAGGAGAGAAAAGAAAATAAAGAGCATGGCCCAGAGATTTTATTGAAGTTTTTGTGACAAGAAATGGGAGAGGAAGATAAGTATCCTGAGTAAGTTTAGGATTGCATGGTTTGAATAATTTTAGTGGGCTCTTGGTTATAGGGGTGGTCTGTAGTTTGTTCAGTACCTGGCTCTGGGTTGATTTAGGGGAGGGGGGATATTGGCTTGGTGTATGAGTTTGATAAAGGAGATGGTTGGGGGTGTGGGCTCTGGATTGAGGGTTTGTATATGAAAGGTGCACTCACAGTGGAGACATTTATTATCTTTAGGAATTAGCTAGCCCAGGGAGAGGCAGACTCTCCAGGATCAAGGCTCTAAGTGCTAGAGCATCAAAAATATAGAAAATAAGAAAATATAATCAATACAGAAATATTCTATAAATCAGATCATGCTTGACACTAATCCCTGGTTTTATGGCTCAATATTATCATTTATAAGACAGAGAATCTAAATCTTATGACATCTCTGTTTCCTCTTCCTTTCACCACAGATTTGCAACCTTCATTCCTTTATTTGGCCTGAGTCTCAACCTCCAGCACTTGGGGAAAAATATTTTCCTGTTCCAGGTTCTCTTTGGTGCAGTCAAAATTCCAAGCAATTATGTTGCCCTTTTGGCACTGAATCACCTGGGCCGTAGAGTAAGCCAGATGCTTTTCCTGTTCCTGCTGGGACTCTCCATCCTAGCCATCATATTTGTGCCCGAAGGTGAGAAAAGAGCACAGAGTGACAAATAGCTTCTCTGCATTCCTCTGGGCTTCTATGGGTCACACCGATCTGAAGCCTGAAGGAAAGGGATAATTGTATTCTAAGGATTCCCTGAAAGCAATATGGGGGTTAGCACAGCTTCTGCCATGAAATTGCTGGGAAAAGAACCAAGGTGAGTAAAGGTCAGCTCAGGTATATGGTTGTCTTCATTGCATTCGAGATGTATCTGGAAATTGGTGCCAGATTACTTGAAGTTTCTCTAGGACAGCAACTAATCACTTACCTTTGACCATTCACACTTTATATAGCAAGCACAGAGGGTCTAGACCTTGTCATTGTATCCCATTTGAGGACACAATACTGTGACTTCCTCTGTCTGGGTTCTTGCTTATTTCTACAGCTTTAGTGACAATTTCTTCTCTGATCTGTACATATCCACTCATGTGTCTCCTGTAAGATCTCCGTAACAGTAGCTATGGTTTACGGGTGTCCTGTTGACCTCAAGCAGACAAAAATTCCTTGTCTTCAAGCAGAGAATTGACAGCAGAAACAAGTCACAATACGGTTAAGAGCTTCTCCTAGAATTGATTTTACTAAATTGAATGATCATATGTAATGAATAAAGGGAATCAGGTGGTCACCATGCTTTACCTAACTCTCAGCATATTTATATATTTTACAAGATCCCAGATTGGTGGGCTCCACTCCTCATCATGAATGTCAGCAGTGATGCAAGTTTTCTTCCTTACAACAGTGCCCACTCCAATGCAGTAATGTTCTTGATGAAGCTTTTTGAGGGCAGGCAGGGCAAGTCAGGGGTAGAAAACTAACCCTTAGAACTTCCCTTCAGTGGTTTCTAAACTCAGGCTGTTTTCCTAATAGAGGTCCCTATACTTGAATATTGCAGCATTATTTTAGATCAAGCTACTCTCCAGCTTATCCATTAACATAGGAGTTCTGTTCTTTTGTTACTCTCTTCTGCATTACTAGCCTCATATATAAATTGTGCATGTTCTTAGATTTTAAACTCTCAAAGACATGGATAAGTCTTACACCCTTCAGCAATTGCTCACGTGACAGTCCTCTGTTCTGCGTGAAGGGTAAAGGAGACACAGAACAGAATTAATGCAAGAGAGCACCTGCCGGACTCACTTTCCCTTCTCCATTTCTGGCAAATCTCAGACACGCAACAGGAGTTGATAAAATAACTCAGTCCTTTTATTCACCATAAGTCATAATGTATAGATAAATCACATTTCTCACCTGATTAGACAATGCACATTTACTGATTCTGTGCAGTTTCTCTACACCATATTTAATACTTGCAAACACTTCCAATAGGATCTTTTTCATTTTTAATTTGAGGGATGGTGATGTCTTCAGCTCCAGTTTCCTGAGTCTCACTGGTCTTCCTCTCTCCAGATATGCAGACTCCGCGTGTGGTTTTGGCCACTTTGGGAGTAGGAGTTTCCTCTGCCGCTATCATCAGTGCTGTTGCCCATGCAAATGAACTAATCCCCACTGTCATCAGGTACAAAGCTCATGGATGCTCTGTCAGGATCAAAACAGGCCTCTCCCAGATAACTTACACCTCTTGGAGAAACCAAACTAAGACAAATTAGTTATTAAAGGTAACTAATTATAAGAGTAATTATAACAACAAAAACTATAACCAAATTCTTTCTACTTTGACTTTTTACGAAGCATTAAGTCCTTTAATGTTTCTTCTCCTGAAATCTTCTGAATCACATGAAGTGTAAATGCTATGGGTAACAGTATTTCTTCAATCATCAAATTTTGTCTCAAGACACAAGTGAAATTGAAAAGAATTGCTAGAAAGTAAGAGAGAAAATGTCCAAAACAAGAGTATATCATCAATCTCCACATCTAAACACACTGATGTGTTGTCTTCCATAACCAAGCAAACTAGTAAATCATAGATTATATTGCTGGATTTTCACTAGATTTTTTTTATTATTGTTTTGACCCCAAGAGCAACAGCTTTAGCTGTCACTGGAACTGTTGCTAATATTGGAGCAACCCTGGCTCCCCTCTTGATGATCCTAACCGTGTCTTCCCCCCACCTACCCTGGATCATCTATGGAGTCTTCCCCATCCTCGCTGGACTTGTTGTCCGACTCCTTCCTGAAACCAGGAATCAGCCTCTGCCTGACTCCATCCAGGACGTGGAAAAGAAGTGAGTAAACGCCCTGGCTGTCCCTTAGGGTTGCTGTGCACAATAGTTCTGTGATGAGGAGGGAAAGACAACATTCAGGGTCATTGTTCCCAGAGGAAAGTTTAGACCCAGATTAGTTCCATGTGGTCAGTGCCTTTGGTTTGGCTTCAGCTTCATTCCTCCCCCACAGTGACCTCAGAATCCCTCAAGCCTCCCTAAATCACACAGATCTGCTCTGCCCAGCCTGTACCAGTAGGTTTAGTGGTGAAGAGGCCAAAATTAGGTGTCCCAGTGTAACATACACAGCCCTGAAGTTATTTCACAAATATTCACGGATCCAAATACCGGATTCTCATCTCTTGTCCCTGGCAGCCCTCAGCCCAGGGAGTGCAGACAAGCTCTCTGAGACTGCTGGTTCCTGTAGGCCTGTATAATCTGATTCTGATTCTCCAGAGAAACAGAGCCAATAGGATGTGCATATATACAGCAAGACAGATTTATTTTAAGGAATTGACTCACAGTATTGTGGGGGCTGGCAAGTCTGAAATCTGCAAGCAGGCAGCCGCTTGGTGACCCAGGGAAGAGATGAAGGAAGAGAAGAGTTCTCCAGTCTGAAGGAAAATTTGGAGGCAGGATTCCTTCTTCCCCTGGGGGACCTGTCTTTTTCCCCTAAGGCCTTCAACTGATTGGATGAGGCCCTCCACATTATGGAGGATAAAACTTTGTGCTTTACTCTAAGTGTACTGATTTAAATACTAATAACATCTAAAAAATGCCTCCACAGAAACATCTAGACTGGTATTTGACTAAACATCTGGGCACTCTGGCCTAGCCAAGTTGACGTATAAGATTAAACACCACAAGACCTGAGGACTTCCTGGTCACTAAAGAATCTGAGGGAAGTCAGGGAGAGGACAAGAGCCCCTCCCACAGATGACAACATATTTCAGGGGAAATATGTTGTGTTGCCTGTGAGATTCAGACCATCTGGTTTTCACTGGGAAAGAAATTATTGAGAACAGAGATTTTTAAAGTGATAAAGATTGGGAAAGGAGTCTAAAACTTTTCTGTACTTCCTTTGCCTTTTCCAAAACCCCTCTTTCTGACACCATGGTGTCCAGGAGTAACAGCAGAAACTGTTAAAGCTGCCTTCTCAGATCCTGCCCTGGGAGTTGGGTCTTATTCTTCACAAGATTTACTCACATCCTTGGGGCAGGGTTCATGGTTTATGGTAAAGCTGGTTGTTGAAGGGTAAACTTGCTCTAATGAATGTTGGATATATATGCTTGTTCCATGTCTTTTCAATTTCTGTGTTAATTTGTTTGTTGGTTTCATTATATTTTTACCAGGAGAAAAAGCTCATTAAAAGCAAAGCAGGAAGATATTTGCATGAAAGTGACACCACTTTAAGGAATTCCAGGAAATAATTGCTGACTCAAGAGCAAAATAAAGGGGAAAAATGAGATAATTCTTCATAAGGGAAAATTTGTAAAATACATGCATAAAAGTACATAATGGAAAAATGGATTTTTCCAATTGCAGTAGTAAATTACTAAGTATAAAATACCTATAATTAATCATAAGAAGAAATGTGAAGAAAGCCATAATATTTTAAAAGAACTTAGAACATTTGTACAGTTGTAGATAACTAGCATGTTTCTCAATGGGAAAGTTGATTAATACTAACAATACCAATTTTTCCCTCAATTAATTGGCATAATTATTTATATAATCATAAGGACAAACTATACACTTTTGGAAGAATCTGAAAAATAGAAATTTCTCTGGGAAATTAACGATAAACAAGGTGATTTCAAAACAGAGGATTATGCAGTGAGATGAGGCTAGCTAGTGTATGGGGCAGCATATGCTGGAATTATAGCTGCAATTGTCAAAACAGTAATAGCAGATGCATTTACATATCAAAGGAAGTCCAGAAACAGAACATAGTAAATGTAACACTTAACATATAATTTTGGGATCCTAAATCACAAGGCAAATTAAAGGATTATGCAACAAATACATTAAAAAACTACTTAAAAATAAATGATTAATAATGTGACTTCATGCACTAAATCAAAAAATATTCTACTTTAATAAAAAGCTAAATAGAATAAAAAACTATAGGTTTCATTAGAAAATGTGGCTACAATATCTTGGCTTAAGAAAGTTTTGAGTAGTAAACCAAACTCCAGAAATTTAAAGACAAGCATATTTCAATACTACTCATTTAAATCCTCTGTTGGGCAAAACTCTAACAGCTTATCAGAGAAAAATAGAAAAATATTCACCAAAATGCTAAAAACAATTAACTTTTAGCGGTGGACTTTTTTTTTTTAAAGACTTTATTTTTTTCCTTTTTCTCCCCAAAGCCCCCTGGTACATAGTTGTGTATTCTTCGTTGTGGGTCCTTCTAGTTGTGGCATGTGGGACGCTGCCTCAGCGTGGTTTGATGAGCAGTGCCATGTCCACGCCCAGGATTCGAACCAACGAAACACTGGGCCGCCTGCAGCGGAGCGCGCAAACCTAACCACTCGGCCATGGGGCCAGCCCCTTAGTGGTGGACTTTTAAGTGATTGTTACTTTCTTCTTTGCAAGTTTCTGTATTCAAAGTTTAAACAAAGAATATATAAAATTTCAAAATATTATGATGTCAAAAATGAAAAAGCAAATGACAAAATAAACAATTTTTAAAATGTACTTTTAATATGTAGAATTCTCACAGTATCTACCCAAAAAGATAATAAACATTTCAATAGAAAATAGGTAAAAAGCAGAACATATCATTTTCAAGAGAAAAAAGTGGCATGGACAATACATTTAGGGAAAATTGTACAAACCCGCTAGAAATTAAAGACATAGAAACTCCAATGAAAATTCATCTTAAACTGTACTCTTTGTCACGGTTAGTGAGAGTGAAGCTAAACAGAAACTCATTGATTGATGGTGGAATTATAAAATAATTCATGCTAGAGACCTGCTGAAAACAGTTTGACATCCTTATCGAAAGCTTTGAAGTAAAATTTCTTTAATTCAGTAGCCATTTATTAAGCATGTCGTAACTGCCAAGCAGTGTGGTAAGCGCTCTGAACATAAAATGAAAAAATAGGCATAAAACAGATGTAACAGGTATGTATGTTAGAACACATGTGCAGGTGTGGTCTCACATTCAAGTCAACATAATCTTAGATTGAGTTCCAATTTCCTCCAAGTTGGCAGTAAATCATAAGTCCATTAATTTTAGAGATCATTTCTACAATCCTTCCTTACCAGAACTATCTGGATCCTGTAGGCATGCGCAGTGCCAAAGTGATGGGGTGAGACCAAGAGGGAGCAGCCACAGGTTACCAGTTATCTGTTCAAAGATATTACCAGGTTAATACTGGCCCTGGGCGCACTTGGTTGTTACAACTTCCCATTCATCACATGTGGCACTGGAATCCAAGGTTTCCAGTCTGATTGTTCAGCTCCCTATGCAGTCACTCACTTTGGGTCTTCTGCTTCCCTGGGGAACTACCATGGGTCAGGACTGGACCCCTCTCCCCCATAACCCAGAGACCCTCCCCTGATTTAGCCCCTTCCCAAACACTCAACTTTCTTCCTCTTCTCTCATTACCTCTTCCGGAGATCCTCTAGTTAGCCTACGAACTTTAGATTTTGAAAACAAAGTCAATCAATTGTACAAGCTTCTTCTGTTTTTCACCTCCAAAATGCCTTCCAAGAGACAAAGAAGCACAAAAATGACAAACTATAGAATGTGGGAAAGACACAAGAGAAAATCCCAGAGGAATCATCCATAATGAGTATCATTGGCTTGTCCAGCCACATTCTTCCTCCTAATGAAATGTTTGAGATCCTATCATGACAAGGACCAGGTAAAACCTATTGTTTTTCACCTTGAAGGATGGAGGCCAGTCCATAGATTCTGACGTTTCTGTGGGAGAGAGTCCCATAATTCTTCATGGGCCTTTGATGTTGCAAACCAGTAGCTATGCTCCATAAGATGGCCATTGGTGCAAGGATTGAAAAGAGTGAGGTATCGAGTGACATGAGGGAAGATGGCAGAATATAGACAACAAAAGTACCGGCAGGAAGTATCTGGTTAAGTATTTTAGAAATATGAAGTCTAGTCAAAGCTTGAAGCTTCCAGGCTTGGCTTGGCTGATAAATTGTGATTAATTTCAATCAATTTCAACCATTACCAGAGTAGTGGCTATCGTCCACACACACTCATCCTTATGGAAGCTAGCCATACCCATGTTTCTGGAGAAGGTTGTGGGAGCCACAGTTGGCAAAACGACTGTCCTTAAAACATCAAGGATCTGTGTGCTGATTGCTGCTTCTGATCACAGAGTTGCCTACATAAAGGAGGGCCACCTTTGTTGCAAATCCCACAGACTAAAGCATACTCCAAGAGATTTAAAGAGAAAGCACTTGTTATTTTTTTTCATTTTTCCCTTTCTGGGAGCTTTTCTTTTTTTTTAAGGACCATGACTATTGAAAGCAACCTCATGTACAGAAAATGTAGAAGTCACCATCCACGCTCAGCTAAAGACTCAGGCTCAGAAAAGACCTGAGAAGACCTTAAGATGTTATCTTAGGCTGATCTCTGGCACAGAGACACCTGATAACTTTTTTAAAAAAGTAACAAACCCTGGGGAAGGCAGAAAATTTGGCTTTCAGTGTTGCCACATTGATTCAAATGTCAAGATTTAAACAAAAAATAATAAGAGACCCAAAGAAACAGAAAAGTGTGACTCATTCAAAGGAACAATGTATCGAATTCTGTGTAGATTACATCATGTTCACCACCCGAAAACTAATTCTAGTCCATTCCCTCACATGTGAGCCTATCAGCCCTTTTGCCCTCCCCCCGTCCCCCTTCCCCTACGGTAACCACCAATCCAATCTCCAATGCTATGTGTTTTTTTGTCGTTGTTTTTAATCTTCTACACAGAATTCGAAATATGATGTACATCTGAAAATAAATAAATAAATAAATAAGAAAGGAACAAAATAAATCGACAAAAACTATCCCTGAGGAAGCCCAGAGGATGAACTTACTAGATAAGGCTTTAAAGCAACTGTCTGAGATATAACTCGAAGAGCCAAATGAAGACATGAGAAAAGACAGGAAAATGATGTATGAATAAAATGAAAATGCTGACAAAAGTCTTGACAATATAAGAAGGAGCCAAAAATCAATTATTATTTCCCTTGAATACCTTCCAGTGGGACAAGATGTGATAGTGAAGATAGTGATAATGATGATCCTGACCCTGCGTAGGACTAGGCTAATATGAATGTTTGTTTCTTAATTTTAACAAAAACTTTAAAAACTAAAAAAAGTTAAAATATTTTTAAAAAGAGAAAACTTTATAGAATAAAGCTACAAAGAAAGAAAATACTTTTTTACAGCTGTACAATATATTCTGTTTCAAACTGTGTTATTATAAAAGACCCAAAAAGTTAAAAAATTTTAAAGTTTATAAAATAAAAAGTAAGCTAAAGTTAATTTATTATTGAAGAAAGAAAAACATTGTTTTTATAAATTTAGTGTAGACTAAATGTACAGTGTTTTAAAGTCTACAGTAATGTATAGCAATCTCCTACGCCTTCACATTCACTCACCAATCACTGACTGGCTAACCCAGAGCAACTTTCAGTCCTGCAAGCTCCATTCATAGTAAGTTTCCAATGCAGGTGGTCCTTTTCTGTTTGTTTGTTTTTGCTGAGGAAGATTCACTCTGAGCTAACATCTGTTGCCAATCTTCCTCATTTTTTTTTTTTTTTTTTGCTTGAGGAAGGTTAGCCTTGAACTAACATTTGTGCAAATCTTCCTTTATTTTTTTATGTGGCTCGCCACCATAGCATGGCCAATGAGAGGTGTAGGTCTGCATCCAGGATCAGAACCTGTGATCCTAGGCTGCCAAAATGGAGTGCACTGAACCTAACTGCTATGCCATAGGGCCAGCCTCCCATTTTTTAATATTTTATACTGTATTTTTATGGTACCTTTTCTATGTTTAGATATGTTTAGATAAAGGAATACTTATCATTGTGGTACAATGGCCTATAGTATTCAGTAGAGTAAAATGCTATATAAGTTTGTGGCCTAAAAGCAATAGGCTGAACCATATAGCTGAGGTGTGTAGTAGGCTATACCATGTAGGTTTGTGTAAGTGCACTCTGATGTTCACACAATGATGCAATTGCCTAATGACGTGTCTCAGAAAGTGTCCCAATCATTAAGCCATGCATGACTGTATCGAACTATAAAAGCCTAAGGCAGAGATTACCAGTGGAGAAATACAATAGACCATCTAAAGTCCCAAGGGAAAGCTGTGGCGAGACTGTGTGCAAAATAAAGAAATTTAAAAGCAGCTGTGTATAGAGAGTAATTGATAAAGACACACACAGGATGCATTCTTGGAAAAGAACTGAGAAGACCTTAAGTTTCACCTTGAGCTGATTACAAGGCTCAAAACACATTCTGCTAATTAATGAAAGCCACCCCCCACAGAAAGCCAGTTTACAAAGATCAGGAGAGGGGGCTGTATCTTCACATGCCCAGTTTTCAACAAAAAATCACAAATCATACAAAGAATCAGAAAAACATAGTACAGCCAAAGGAAGTAAATGCCAGCACAAACCATCCCTGTGTAAACATAGGCCTCAGACATATCAGACAAGGACTTTAAAATAACTGTCTTAAACATGCTGAAAGAACTAAAAGAAAACACAGACAGAGAACTAAAAGATGTCAGGAAAACTATATATGAACAAGATGAGAATATAACAAGAGATAGAAATT